TATACCTATGATGAAAATTACAGGCCTCTCTCATCTTTTTAAGTGGGAGAACTTGCACAATTGGTGGCTGACTAAATACTTTTTTGCCCCACTGTATAATATGCCTTGTTTCCAAGGTTCTTTTTGTTCAGATGATATTACCTGTGGTCTTTCTTTTATCTTTCCCTGCCCAACAGTTTTGGGCTGTACAGACCCTATTCCAGGAGATTGAATGAGGCTATTCTCTTTTGATCATTTGACATATGGCAAAATAATTTTTTTAAAGAATATAAATTGAAGGCCATTAATTGCTTTTAGAAATATGTTATTGGTAGTCACCTTTAATGTGGCTTGCCTTGGTAATATGAGAAAACCCTGTGTTTTCAGGATCATACCAGTTTGGATTCTTCACCTGCAAAAGAGCAGATGGATGAGTCACCTCTTCAGAGGCTGGATGAGTCTCTACTAACATGTGAAGGAGATGGTAATGACATTTGTTCTTTTTCTTACAGAGTTCACCAATGTTGAATTTCAGAGAGAAAATCTTAAGGGCCAAGCAAACTCCTTTAAAAAGCCGAAACTTTAGTTTGAATAATTGAATTAGGATTTTTTTAACAGTGCCAAATCCTCATGACTTCTCTAAATTTGATAGGTGTTCAGCTTTTGTATAGAGCAGATGTGACAAATCTACCATGTATGGCCCACATCTCCCAGTTTGTCAATTTCTAGAAATTTATTCACTCTACATATCTTTTTTATATTAATATGTACTATATATGGATTTTGTCATCTAAATCATAGTTTTTTAAAAATAGGAAATATTTCTTTCAGGGTAGGATAGTTACATGTTTAATAAAATTCTGAACTTCTTTGGCTTCCTTAAGAGTAAATTGTTTGAGTCCTTTGTAAATGCCTGACCTCCTTGTTTTTCCACAGTAAACACGAGCAGTCTCCTGTGTTGTGAGGAAAAAGGATGATTCTTATGCCTAGACAGAATTGCCACATTTACTATGACATTCACTATAGACCAATGAATTTGAGATTGGTGGCCATGTAAATTGAAATAAAGACATATTGACAATTATTTAAAAGAAGCAACTTTGTCCGGTGCGCCTCATCCTCTAGTGTTGAAGTTTTGGGGAAAAAAACTATACCTTCTCAACGTTCTCCCTTTTGTATCATTATTTAAAGATCCAGGAAGCTATTTATGTATTAAATATCATAATTACAGCATGACAGTCCTATCTGCCATTGAGGAGAGCTCTGATATTTGAACTTCTGAGACATGCAGAGGTTTATTACAGCAAGCCAGGCAGAGTTTGAGGGAAGCAGAAAAGAGAGATTGGTTGTTTTGTCATTTTGTTGTTGGATTTTATCTTTTAAAAGTATTCTTTTCTACAGTAAGCATTAGGAGGGATATTATTTATGCTAATTTAAAAACTAGTCTAATTTTCCTTAACGTTGGCGGCATGTCCACAGACTAGAAGAGCTGTACATCCTTGAATCCAAAACCTCTCTCAATATACTCAAGGATGTGCCTTTTTTCTTGCCTCCCCAATTAGAGAGGTAAGGACTGCGCCTGAAATTAAATCTCCAGTGGTCTCTCTCTTTGTTCTCAGAAGGGGAGATCAGATTTCTCTTAAGCCCCTGGGTTGCCTTTCTAGAAACCATAAGACTTTGTCCCAAATGTTGGAGAAGCTTGAGTCAGTTATATTTATTCCAGATAACTGAAACAGAGGAGGCAGATCCTGAAGATGACTCTTCAAGGGAGGAAGAATTGGGGAATGAATTAACTCAGGAACAACCATGTAGAAGACGGGGAGGCTATGTATATATCAGAAAGTTTCCCAGCATCTGTTCTGCTAATGGAGTTGCCAGAATTCACAAACTCCCACAGGTCTGGTCTGTTTAATGAGCTGTTCTTTGGTCCTTTCTTGGCAGGCTCACGGCATTTCCCTGAATCCAGGAACAACAACCACATAAAGCGTCCCATGAATGCTTTCATGGTGTGGGCCAAGGATGAAAGACGCAAAATTTTGCAAGCCTTCCCAGACATGCACAACTCAAGCATCAGTAAGATTCTAGGTAAAGAAGGGTGTCTAAATTGGCACCTATCTGTTCTTTATTCCATTGTCTTTGGATATTTCTGTGAGACATGTTAGATCCAGATGCCCTTGGGCAAGTCATTATTGCTAATCTCCAACAGGTTAATAGCAGGTGTTGTGCTTTAGTAGAAGCACCAAGCAAGTCCTCACAGTTCTCTTTCTCTGTCTATCAGGACTGCCTGATTCTTCAGATTTTAAACCTGCATGCACAAAACAGATGTTGAAAGTAGGCTGTAAAAAAATTAAGCCCACATCAGAGAGGAAGCCAAGACTAGCTTTTTCTCAGGGAGCTATTTATACAGTTGTGGTTGTAGACATTTTCTTTATGACATGAATCTCAGACTAAAGAACGAGCTAGAGGAGGTCTCAGCTTTTCTTGTTAGTCAAGAAGTTAAATTTGCTGCCTGCCCCAGAATTCAGGCAGCAGCTTAAGCAGAGTCCCTTTGCTCAGTAGGGAGGCCTTTTTTCCCCACCAGAATGAGCAGCAAACTCATTCTGTATCTGGTTGTTTAGAGTCTTTGTTTGCTATTAAGGGAAAGGGGGAAAAGGCTTCCTGTCTAGGAGCTGGACGTTGAGCTTGGATTCTTTGCTGTGGGCTAGTGAGAAGTTCTCAGTTCAAGGAGCTAGTGCATGAAAACCTAGAATTTAGAAGAATTTTTCAATAGAGAATAGTATTTCCCCTAATTACCATGCCTAGCATGTGAGCTCTGAAATGCACAATTTTACAATAGTAGTTATTGTTAATTCAGGGTTTAAGCATGGATCATAATTGGAGGTGTAAATTTGGTAGAATCTACAGAACATCCCTCTTAGTTCTTCTTCAGAATTATCTTCAGAAATTTATAGTAACTAGGCAAAAAGGAAGGCTCATTGCAAAACAGGCCTAAGTGATAAAAACACAAGGTGTATCTAGGGTCATAAAAAAGATGGAAATTAAATGAACGAATAGCTGATTCACAGATCATACTGAACCGAACTTTATTGAATGTGCCATAGTGGCCTTGTTCACAAATAACACTAAATATCCAGTGAAACTGTAACTTAAGAAAGATTGTATCTATCCACAACTAAACATCAACTAATTTCAATTTGGCTATGTACGTCCTGTAAGAAAGGATGGTTAGGCAGTTTATATAGAGCAGGTTGCTATAAAGAGGTACAGTCTTGTTTCCCTAATTTTACTTCTAATGTTTTTCTCTTGTTTCATGTACATCTAAAATAGATGACAGTAAAAAATGGTAAAAGCAATCATTAGTTGTCAATCCATCAACTTGATTGACCAAAGGGCCATAACAACTATTTTTATGCCACAACAAACACAATAAAGTGCATCCACTTCTGAAAGAGAGTGCGAGACTGTGTGTGTGTATATACAGATATTTACATATAATGATTCTATATAGCCTAAAATGATCATCTGAAAAATTACATTCAAGTATTATAGAAATATGTATCACTGTAACAACACAATATTTAAATGCACAAAATAACATTTTTCTTGTAGCGGCCAAAACAATTCAAGTCACTTTATGAGTGACTGGCTTGTAGTTATCATGCACAGACAATCCAGCTTATCAACGACAGGGTCCAAAACAGCGGCAGCAGCAGCAGCAACAACAAAATAACATGGCAAATCTGCTACAATATTTCCTCCACAAATATATAATCATGTTTTGCAAGCAGTTCAAGTGTAATAGCTTTTATAACCATGGTACCTGTAGTCTGGTTGCAGAAGACAATATTGTTATTGTTGCTATCATCATCATCATCATCATCTGGGGCACAGCCAACTAACAAGCCAAACAGTCAATAAGCTCTTTTGGGCAAGAAATTATCTACATATTTATAGCTGAATAGTCAATAAAGAAGAAGGGATAAAGAGAGGAACATCCTTGTTCATGCATAAAATAAGCTTTGCTAAATAATATTCCCAACAGAAGGATGAGTTCAAATCCTATCTCATGGGGCAATATTAGTGTATGTACTACAGTTGCATGAAACTGAGTAATAATATGTTATCTGATTGATCAGGGAGAATAATATTCAGAGATGGCAATTGTAATAAACACAAGTCTCTGAAATATTGATTTTGAGAACAAACGAGAACCATGAACTCTGCATTAAAATATGCTTTGAAAAACATTTCTGTAAGCATATTTTGAAAAGTTAATCCAATTTTTTTGAGCTGGTGAACACATTTGGAATTTTTAGAGTATGTTGCAGGAACCCTCACAAAATGGTGGCACAAAAGAGATTTTGTTTTCTTCCCAAAATGTCTGTCATCGGGGACACAGCCAATATCAGTTTTATCAGAAGAAAGGTGACTTCCCAGGATTCTTTCTAGAACCACCACCATCTACCTTGCTTTTGTCTTTTTTGGGGGCCAAGTGGGCATATATCCAAGTAAAATGTGAAGATGGAGCTAGTTAGCATTTTTATTTTCTATGAAGAGCAGGCCCTGGAGTACTCATGGAAAAATACTTCGGGCCTGATATTTTGCTTTGCAGCATGGCGGCTTCTAATTGATTAATTGGATTTTTTTAAATCAAAAGAATCTTTTAAAAAGTCAGGAGGACAAAGATTACTTTTAATGGAAAATGGACTAAAACAATATGAAGTAAATCATGTTTAACCTAACCACATAGTAAACAGAAGATTGTCAATAATTTTTCTCAGCACTCCTCAGTTTTCAACAGATGTGTCAGGAGGAAAGAACAAAGCCATAGTCTTTCAGTGCAGTACTTTACAAGGCTACCCAGAAGCAAGTTTCATTCATTCAGTGGGGCTTTCTGCTTAGTAATAGGGGTGGCCCCTTAAAAAGTCTGGGTGATACCAGCCTCCTTGCATTTTTATTTTCCTCCATGTTCCTTGTGTGACACATGTAGAAGATGATAATTTGATAACAAATACTTAATACCGATTCACATTCTGCTGATGCTAAATAAAAATAATCCTCCCTTGTGGTAGTGCTTCTTCACTCAGAGTTGTTCTTCTCACCACATGGGCTAACATTAAGCTGCAGTTCCTCATAGTCAGCATAGACTGGTTAGTTATTTAAAGAGATTGGTGTGGTTTCTGAAGAACTTATCCATGCTATTAGGAATGAACTTGCAATGCTTCGGTAGGGGTTTGTGGGTTACGCTCAGCATGCTTAATTTGAGCTCAGGTGTTGAGGTTAAAATAAACTTTCAGGTACTACAATATTAGGATCTGATCTGGTGCTTCCTATGACATTCATCACCTTAGACCATTGAAAGGTCTTGAGCATTATAATAACCACAATGATGGATTCACAATTAGAAGCTTATAAGTTTGTTTCTTCAGGAGAGTCTATTTTGAGTGATAGGAAATGGTGTCTCAATAGCAAATGAGCTGGGTGGTTTTATGTTTTTCAGATACAATTAGATGATGTAGGAATTTGTTTTGTGTTTGTATTTCTAACATATAATGAATGTAACATTGTTGGGCTCTGAATATGCAGAAAAATAAGATGATAGAATGCACTGAGCCAGTACAGTTTGTAAGAACGTAGTGCCATTTATTGATGCTTTCCTTTTCCCTTCCCCTCTTGTCCCTGCATCGCTCTCGCTCTCTCTCGCTCTTTTTTTAAAAGGCCTACTTCCAGCTCTGTTAGTTTCAACTAATAGAGCAGATTTTGTTTTTTAAGGGGAGCATTCAAAAATGTTGCCTCCATCTGATAGTGATATGATCCACTCTGTCATCTCGACTCTTACATTTCCAGATTTGATGTCTAAAAGTGAAAAATAGGAACTCAGGTTGTTTTGCTTTTGACTTTACTTTTTTTTTTCTTTAGAAAAACAAATCAAACTGGATGAATGTAAAAGGGAATGTACAAAAAAGGAAAAAATCATCATTATAACATAGAAAAATACATATGGCTGAATCCTCCCTTGAATTTTTCATTCCCAAAGTTTATTAAATTATGACCATTTTGAATAAGCTTAATATTATTTGAATTATATTGACTCTGAAATATGACAAGATAATTTTACCAGCAATGCTAATTCCTGTCTTTTCCTATCTTAACTCCTAGGATTTTCTTTGGCCTAGAAAATTTGTCTAGGCTTAACTTTTTCTCAGTTCCATCAACTATAGTCATCTTAGACTCTGTTTCCTATCTTAACTGCTTGGGTGAAGCCTTCCATATCTCTCCAGCCTCAGTTCTTCACAAACTCTCTGGTGGGCATGACAGTAAAGGTCACACAACCCAGGGAATTCCAATCACACAGCAGGCCAGCCTATTTTAGCTGTTCCACCTGCTCCTCATACCTTGTGCTTGAAAGAATTCAAAGAGCAGTGTAGGAAGGTGACAGAAAAGGTCAGCAGGAGGGAAGGGTTCTAGTTAGCAGTAGGTGGCCATGGCTTTGGAGCTTCCCATTTATAAAGAGAGAAGCACTAAGGAAAAGAGCTGTACTTCCCTGACCTTTACTTTCCCATTTGCCTGATGTGTCATGTAACTTGGCACAAATCAGCCAATTAATATCATATTTGAGATATGGAAAAGGTCTCCTTAAATACAAGGGGATTTGCATGCATTTTCTTGCAGTTTGACAATAGTGCATCTACGCAAATGAAACTTTTTCCACATGATGTAGTAATAACATGCTTTTATGTTGATGGTACAGTTAAGTGCTGATTAAATAATTATGCATGTAAGTTTAATATACTTATTTCAATGTGCTCAGCTTACCCCCTGAGGCAAGAATGCCCCCCTCTCTTATGGCCTTCTGGAGAATAGTTGGAATCTGGTTTTCTAGAAGGCCATTGGTAATTAAGCTGCTAGAGCAATGTTTTTCAAACTTGGCAACTTTAAGATGTGTGGCGTTTAACTCCATGCTTTATGCTGGCTGGAGAATTTTGGGAGTTGAAGTCCATACATCTTAGTTGCTAAGTTTGAAAAACACTGAGCTAGAGGAAGATTCGTGCCATTATTGTTCATTCTTCTTTACAGTTTTCTTATTACATTGTTCTTGTATTGTATTTTGCTTTAATTTTGCAATATTTGGAGTGAGGTGGTTTATAAATCTAAAAATTAATTGTATTCATAAATAGACAGGAGTCATGTGGACTCATCTGTGGTCCTTGCTCCTGTTTTTGTGGATTAAAACTTGTGAGAAATCTATTCTTCCTTCTGAAGAAAAAGGGGAAAAATTGACATTTGTTGTTTTTGTAGAGAAAAAGGTAGTTTTGTTTTCATTTTGAAACTGGGTAATGCCCAGTCTAGTCTTTGTCAAATTGAGCATCATGCATCTTGTAATCCATGTGATCCAGGACACCCCATTAACTATTTAGTATGGCTTGCTATTTCATTTTGCAGTTCTAGGCAGACAACAGAGCCAGGCATTTTCTTGAACTCCTAGTCCCTGTGTGATATGATGGTCCAGATATTGAACAGGACTAGCCTTGCCAGTGTAAAATTGCCCTATGTTCTTGGAGATGTAGCAATTTATAGAAATAATTATTTTTACCTGAATGGTAATGATAGTTAAATGTAGGGCTATACTATAGCCTTTAGAACTGCATCTGGTTGAAAGAGCAGTTTCCATTAACTCACCATATAATTTGCCTTACAAAAAGACTGAGCAGTTGCAACACCCAAACCTCTTTTTGTAGCCCCAGGGCCCCTCTGATCACAAAAATCAGCAAAAACAGATGAAAAGAAGTACATGTCTTAAAGTAGGCTGAATGTATTTCAAAAACAAAGGGGAAAAAATCCCCCCAACCTATGAAAAAGATAGAAAGTCCTGGTAATGTCTATAGCCAGTTTGCTTCTTCACCCATCCACTGGGATTCAAAGAACAAGAAGTTGTTGCTGTTTTTGTTTGGTTTCAGATTATCCAAAGGTTGCCCACCCCTGTCTTATGTCTCAAACTCAGTTTTTAAAGGTGCAGTGTTCTCTATTGGCTATCTCAGGGGAAGACTGCAGTTGTGGAGGTGTTTTTCATCATAATCTACAGTAATCAACTTTTGTATCTGTTCTTTTTTCTTGTAAGCCCATTTCTTTGGAAGCAGTATTCTGGCTTAGCATAAGACTGAGAAAGACCATGCAGTTGAGGAAGAAAAAGGGGTAACTGAGGTCAACCTCTTTCACTTTTCTCTGTTTTTACAGGATCCCGATGGAAATCAATGTCCAATCAGGAGAAGCAGCCTTATTATGAAGAGCAAGCACGGCTCAGCCGCCAGCATCTGGAGAAGTATCCCAATTACAAGTACAAGCCCCGCCCCAAGCGCACCTGCATTGTGGAAGGGAAGCGGCTTCGTGTTGGTGAATACAAGGCATTGATGAGGAATCGGCGCCAGGACGCCAGGCAGGGCTACCTGATTGCGTGAGGCTTCCTGTCCCTTTTCTCTGTTCTTCCTGAGCACAGTTTTCTGAGCCTGCAGGTTCCTATGGCTGAAATTGAACTCATTTGAGGAAACTGCACAGCACATCTTTTGCAAGGCAGTGTTAGCTTAATAGGGTTCAGGTTCTTGATTCATCATTAACTGTGACCTGCAAAGTCTTCCTGGGCTTACTTGCACTGACCCTGACAAACAGCCAACCCAGGGTATGGTCTTTGTGTGTCTTGTAGTCTTGCAAACTGTAGGGATCACAGACATGATTAAACATTTTGCTGGATCATATAAGCATGATTAGCATCTAGGAGGAGGCATGCAGCTCTGAAAGCCTAGCTGTAGAAGGGAATGTCCAGCAGTGTTTGCTTATAAAAGGGTCCTGGGAGACAGTTGATTTGATCTCATCCCAGAGAGAGCAGTATTGCACAAACACATGGCCAGTGCGTTGTTGTTTCTTAGAAATAAGAAACCTGTGGCTTCCAAGATTACCAGCAGCCTCAGCTAGCATGACCAATAGTTAGGGATGTGGAGAGTTGTAATTCAGTAGTAAAGGATCACAGCTTCTCTGTTCTTGCTTATCTATTCCCATGTTGGGAAGTGCAGTGTGCATTAGTAAAAATGTTATGAATGCTGAATGGAGTGGGGGATGGAGCAGAATGGAAGAGGGCATGACTTTTATGATACATTGTAATGTCTTCCCTAGGCCCCAAAGCAGCCAGATGCCACCTTCCTCTTCGGATCTCATGTACCAGCGATCAGTTGGGATTCAACTAGCTCCGCCACTGATGGATCACTACTTGTCCCATGGCATGGAGCCAAACATGCCAGTCATAGTGAACACATGTAGTCTGAAGCCAGAGGAAGGGGATGGGGCAGAGGACAGTCATTCGGTGCCTGATGGGGAGATGTACCACTACAGTGAAGATGAGGATTCTGAGGGCGAGGAGAAGAGTGATGGCGAGCTAGTGGTTCTCACAGACTAAACTAATGACCCAAGGAGCAAGCAAGTATGGAAAGTGTGGACAAGCCTTTGTCCACTTTCCAACATGGAACAATTAGTTGCATTGGAAGAAACAAGGGGGAGGGAGCTTGTTAAAGCAGAAATGGACATTGAGCAGAGGAACAAGTCTGTATGCCATCATCTATGGTATTGGTAGAGTTTATTTCCCAGTCATTTATCTTCTCTGGAAAAGAAGGAATTTTGTCTTTGACCTGCTGAATTTACTGCAAGGAGATTGAAGGTGAATTGAATATGAATCTTGTAATGTATCTGGTATTTTTTCCTACTAAGGTCAGAACTCCTGCTAAGGACATCCCAAAACTTCACTGAAATTAAATAAGAGGGAACAAGGGGTATTATGGAATCACTAGGGATGAAGGATGAGAATGGAAATACAGAGCAGCAGATTTCAGAACCTGTTATCTTTGAGCCCACCTTCGTAGCAGTTTAGTACTAAGTGTTATGCTCTCAGGAATGAAAGTGTGATTGGAAAATGCTTCTTCCTTCCAATTGCAACTGTATCTTTTATATGGTGTTCAGTTGTGTTGGAGTTCGGGGGCAAATGCTCTGTGGCTGGGTAGCAGTTGTATCTCTTGTTCATTTCCTCTATGGCTTTCTCTCCTTTCCCCAGAAAGCCAATGTAAAAGCTTCCTTTTCCCAGCAGCCAAACACAGTCCTCACCTGTTTACAGCCTGGCCAGCTGCACCAGCTTATATTAGCCACCCAGTCACTACCATTCAACCAGCCTCTTGGGGGCCTTTTCACTTTCCTGAAATCAAACATCTGGGTGGAACACTTATTTCCCCTTCGTTCCGGATGTCAGCTAGTTCTGCCTTTTCCCCCCACTCCAACTTCACTTTGTCCTGTGTTTGTTTTGTTCAACTCCCACTGGCCCTGCCAATAAATTCCCATGGAGCCATTTTTAGCTCTGGACTTGAATGAATAGCAACTGAGGTCTCGAAGGGCCATCTTTACCCTTGGCAGCCTTGGCCCAACTTATAAATTAAGCCATGGCCTGCTTCCCTCCTGCCCTTGTTTGCTTGCCAATTCTCAGGACACACAGGAGAAGAGGACGTCCTGCAACAATAGAAAGCTGACTTGATTGTTAAGGGATAATCTGTGAAGTTTCTGAAGCAATCTTTCTAGAATTGTTTCCCTCCAGGGGTGTTATTAGATCTTTCATACTCACCCACTACGGCACCAAATGTGCATGATGGGAGTTATAATCCAACATATCTGGAGGGCATCATCTTGGGAAAGCTGTTCTGAAGCATCTTCTGTGAAGGAATAGGACTTCTCTTAAATGGAGACTTTTATTGAGTTAGGCTAATGATGCTGTGGTACAGGATAGGAAACCTGTGTTCTTCTAGTTGTTCTGAATTACGGTTCATGGCATGGCCAAACCTGAGGAACAGGATATTGTAATTCAGCAACTCCAAGGGGTTTGTCCACTTTTGTCATACTGGTTTATTGAGCCTCTGGTAGGCCTCAGTATATTTGTAAATTCATGTTTTTTCCCTAAATTGAACTCAACAATCATAGTTTGCAATATAAGTCCTTGTTTGCTTATCATGCTCAAATCATCCTGAGTTGAGTGTATAATGTATACGAGTGGCTTCTTTCATCTTCTTCCCCTTTATCCTTTTGTGACATTAGTGAAAGCAGCAGTCTTGCACTGATTTAAATTAGCTAACTGTTCTTGGTCAATGATATACCAGTGGCTAGTATCAGTACATGGAAACAACAGTGGTGAGGGAGGCACAGAGGATGTACAGGGTCATGATATACATGTGATAGCACATGTATAGTCTCTCTCTGATGTATGAATTATGTATAGATAATTTGCCTACATTTCTCCACATATTTTGTCCCTATCACATTTGGATAGTCCTTTAAACATTTTTTCATTGGATTTCAATCTCAGCATGGCAATCTTTTGCTTTCTACTGTCAGAAATTTAACATCACCAAGAAATTAAATTGGGAGTGCTTAAAGTAAATGTGAAATTCTCTGTTTTTTGGCAAATTCTCCCTTTTGTTTTAGGGAGTTAATGTAACACACTGATCTTCACAATTTGAGACCAGACATGAGATCATGAAAGAAATATGGCATTGCCCGCATGAGTGTATCATGCCCACTGTAAGATGAAGCATAACAGTATGTGTGCCTGCACACACACAGGTGGTGAATTGCAAGCCTATTATTTATGGCAGAAAAGTAAGGATTGCTATTACCAGGCATGCTGTTTGGAGGCACCCTCTTTAAGATAGGGGTACAAAAAGTCCACCAGCATCCCTTTCAGAGGAGGTGGCAAAGGGTCACTGTTTTTTGCATTTTTTGACAATTGGGAGGTGGTTAAAGGATGAGATACATACCTTAAATCTTACAGAGGATTTATGCACCCATTTCATTCCTTGTATGAACATTGGATCCTGGCCTCACCAACTTTAGGAGTGTGGTCCTTGATATGCCTGCCAAAACCTAGTGCAACTCTGGAGTTGACAGAAGTTGCATGCTGAGCATGCAAGGCATTATCTTTCCCACAACAGATGAGTATAGTTGCCACTCTGAAATTTGATCTTAGTGTGCACAGTGCCATTACACAGTTTAGTGTCATTCTAAGACACTGGACCTGGATGGATCTGGATAGAATCAGGAGTATTTGTTTATGAGAAACAAAGCTCTTGTCTGACATTCTTTCATGACAGCTTTTATCATTTTGTCATATTAAGTATAACTTATGTCCCTGACTAGCTTAGATAAGTCAAAACTACTTGCACCTGTCCAGTAATTTATTTTCCCTTATTGTAATTTCAATAAAGACAACTTTGAAAAGAGCAAAGATGCAATTGTATCTTATCATGGAGAGGAAGTGGATCATTTAGTTCATGTGTAATAAGCATCACGAGAATGGGTTACACCAGCTTTACTTGATCCTGATGCCCTTTAGATGTGTTAGATTACAACTCCCACCACATCCAACATCATAACCGGCAAGCATGGAGTTCTAGTCTAGCATCTGGAGAGCATCAAGATGGATGGATGATGAGTTAGGCTTTGTCCTATATTGTTCCCCATTCCTCCAGTTTTTTATTATCCTATCCCTTTCCACTGTGCTCTAGCAACTGGCTGCTGCTTTATTTTTGTTTGTTTTAAAAGTCTGTACATATAGATAGAGCTTTATTTTGTTAATAAGACTAGTAACTTAACCTGTATATTTCAACACTCTTGTTTATAAAGGGTTTTCTTTTTCTTGGTACAATAAAGTTGTTTTGGAACAGAGATCTGTGCTAGTTTTGTGAAATTCACTTGGCCACCTAATTCACTGTGCCTGTTCCTTTTAACAGCAGTTGAAGGCTGTGGAGATGTGCTGACTAGTCTTTAAAATAGAGGAGGTACATGATGCCAGACTTCCCTGGACTATCTACAAACATTGATGCAGCTATGCATGTTTACTTGGAAGAAACTCTTAGAAAGTTCAATAAGATTTACTCCCAGGTAGGTTTGTGTAGGATTGAAGCTTAACATCACAGTCTTCCATGTGTTTATGTGGTAGTAAATTCCACTGTTCTTAATGGGGCTTATTTCCTTGGAAGCATGCACTGTAGTCTTTTACAAGTGATAATGCCAATAATTTTTACCATTCCTTCCATGTGTGTAATGATACTATATCATCCTTGTTCATGCTGACATGTTTAACATCTTCAAAATCTCAAGTCTATTATCTATGGAATGAAAAAAATATTTCTGAAATCTTTTCATCAGTGGACCCTCTTCACAAATTAAATCTTTAGACTTTAGAGAGGAATATATCTCACAGGAGACAATGTATAGATTTTATGAGTATTGAAAATAGTTTGAGATACACCTGCATAACCTGCTTATACAAGGCCAATGTTGACATTGCATACAAAGTGTTTTTCACTCCAAGAAAAAAGAACCAGTGCCTGCCTTCACTATAAGGACTATGTAAGAACTGCAGGATTTAATTTTTGATTCCCGTGTAGCTGAAATGTTCAACAGCTGGTATTACCAATCCTGTCTTTAAATCAGTACAGTACTCAATGTGAGGCTAGTTGCCTTCTTCATACTTTTCAAATGAACCAGAGCCTAACGATCTCACTCAAGTTTCTCCAACTTCTAAACCTGCTTTGACTTTTTAAACAATTGGTCTTTTTAAAAGCCAGTTGTGATTGATTTCAATCAAGATTTAAAATAACACATTGGAGTGCTTCCCTCCTGGTGTCCTAGGGAGGACTTCCTTGTTCCCAGCTACTTCAAATGAGAAGTATATCTCACAAGATCTACAATATTTTCTTTGCTATAACAGAGAACTCAGGGTACTCTTCCTTTGCTTTGCCAGTCAGATATTGCAAACCACCAATGTAAGATAAGAGTTGCTCCAGCAAACATAAGCCTGAGCAGCGTGATGGTATGTTGGCAGTTGTTCAAAAACTAACATGCCAGAGAAAGTTGGCTGTGTGCTCTTGATCATTAGTGCATCCTTTGGAATGAGAATGTCTCTCTGCTGTGGAGCACCATGGAGTACAGATCCAATGGAATTATTTTCTGGCTGCTTTAAAGGATGGCAATCAGCTGGCAGAAATGACCTTGAGCAGGTGAATGACACTGGAAAATCTCTTGAGACAGGGAACTGTCTTAATTATTGGCCCAGACATGTATGACTGGGTCCCAGGTGTTAGGTTAGGTACAGCTACCTCTTTCCACCTCTCCCAAATCAAGCCAGTTAAACATGACAAGAAACAATAGTTATTTTGTAGAATCACAAAATTCATGGGGCAGAATATAGCAGGGATAGGGACCTGGGTTCCTCTTGTTGCTGCTGAATCACAGCTCCCAGCATAAGTTAGTTACTGATTGACTCCTTGGTTAGTTCATTTGTTTCAATCTGACAATAAGCTGCATAATATGAATAGTAGATTACTCAGGAACAAAATATCTTCCCTCCAGCGTTTAATTTTATCACATTGGATTTATAGATAAAAAGAGACATTTGGTGTTTAAAAGGTTCCTTTTTGTCTTTCATTCAAGAAACAAAGTCCACCGACTTGACTCGCACCTGTAGGAACACACAATTTGTTCAGTATTGTCAGCAACTATCATACTACAGAAGAATCTTGTATTGTTTATGTACATAGGACTGAGTACATGAAAATTGCTAATAAGAAAATTAGCGGTTCCACATATAAAGACAGATATGCTGGCATCCGCACTTTTTTAAAAAAGCAAGTCACTGTGAGGTAACCAGCTAAGAGATGCATACTAATCCTTGAAAGTTTAGCCCAGTGTTGTCCAAACTTGGCCACCACTGGTTTAGCCTATCCAGTTCATTGGTTGGTGGCTGTGCATGAACTGGGAAAGCTCTGCCCATATTAAAGATGTCTTTGCTGGCTTTCACCCTGCTACCTCAGTTTGCTCAACTGTTTTGTGCTCAAAACAGACAAGCCCTATAGAAAGCAACGGCTCTGAAAACCCCTAGAGCTTGAAAGCAGTTATATATTTCAAACAGTAACTATATCACACAATTATGCAGTTAGATTTCTCTTTCAAGTACACAATACACTACTACACAATGCCACCCACACTGCAGTCTTCACTTGTTTGTGTTCAGATAACTCTTCAGGCTATGTCATCAATTTTTCATGGTACAAAAATCAAACTATAAAACTGTAAATTACTTGCTTCTGACTATATGAGGATGAGTACAAATATACATCAACACACAAGCCAATAGGGTGTTTTGGGGTGCTTGTGATGCCTCTGGGATAAAGCCAGTGTCCCTGTATCTGTTTTCAGGCTTCTTTAACAGTTTGCTGGTATGCTGTGATTGTGTTAATAACACAATTATCTACAGAGACTTCTATTTCATACTGACATACTCCATATACTTCAAGTACACACACACAACCCCCCCAAGTATGTGTTTCACTGTTTTTAAGTAGATTTAGATTCCCTCTGAAGTTTTTACATCACTATGACATCACATAATGAAAGAAACCTGTGTATGTTAACGTGCCAACACTGAGAACATGAAAGTGCAGTATGATTGTGAATTCCTTTGAAATAAAGAGAATAGGAGGGTTTCAAAATCATGGTTGAGATCCCCTTGCTCTATAGTGGAGTTCATTTATTTCCTAAAACTTCCTACTATATTCCTTTTATTCTCCCTAGAGGACAGCATGCACACTGAATGATCTTGTGAAGATAAGCTTGCCAAAAATGCTCTGAGGAACTCAATGTTTAGAAACCATTTTAACTTCCACACAAGTATCCAGGAGGGACTAGCTTGGAAAAATGCTGCTCCTTCCTTTGAAAGTACTGCTTTTTCTTAACAGGCTATGCGAAGGGTGGAACATGGGTACTGATATCAGGTTCCATCTTGGTCTGATGGGTGGAGATGTCAAAGACAGCTTACGTTTCGTACTTGCTCAGAAGACAGGGAATTCTGTAACTTATGCCGCTGCCCCATGGGGCTTTGGTACTGTTTTTGCTGCAGCAGCAACCCCCAACCCGGCTCCCAATTTCCATATAGTATTTCTGAAAAAGGGCAGATTGGCTACTTAGAAATTCAAATAAAAACATTTCTGTTTTAAACTTAGGGCTAATTAGGCAAGCTGTTTGCCCATTGCTGACCCAAGGCCCTGGCTTCCCCCCTCCCTTAGTTGTGAAGGCACCATAATGCATGTAGAGATTTGCCCAGATTGACTTATTTTTCATCTGACTTTTCCTCCCCATAAGCAAAGATAGCAAAGTAAAAGCTAGTGGCAGAGGGTGAGATGTTGCTGGTCAAGATCCAATTCCTGCGCTCCCTCATTGATCCCTACAAGGGCTGCAGATAGGCTAATCATAAGCCATTCTGAGACAGGGTGGTGATGTAGGCTTTAAAATTTTTTGTACTATCCCTTCTAGGAATTTCCTCACAGAGGTCCCTGTACCCAGAAGACTTCTAAATATAGTCACCATACAAGTCTTTTAGAAAAAGCAGCAGTTTTATTATTTATCATCCAGCCTAATAAAGATCTGAAACTCAAAAACTACCATGATTTTGGGGTTTTTCCTGCCCTCCCCATGAATCAAGGACAGCCACTGATTAGAGCAATAGTTTTTGTTGCCTTTATTTTCTCTGGGTGATGTTTAAGATGGGTTGTACGGCAAAGCTGTAAAAATCCTAAATGCCTCCACCGTGAAGAAGGAAGAATAGGCTAAAATCACTCCCTTCCCCAACAGTGCAAGGGAGTGAATGTCTTCTAGCACCTATCAAAATTTCTAACTTAAAAATGACATCACTAATTTCTACAATTGGTATATGCATTAATAAAAACATTGAGATCCTGATTGCTCTTGCACTAAAAGTGGTGGCATTATGAGGAAATGGAGCAAGAGACATTTCATATATTAAGGTAATTCAGACTTAGATCTTTCATTATATTATGGCAGTGGACATCTTTTCCTCTTTGGTGAAGGGAGATAAAATAGATTATCTAACTCTTTGAATGAAGCCATGCACTGAATGAAATTTCAGTTGCTCTGCATATGTGTAACTGTCAGATAAGCCTTCAGAATTAGGATGTGGACAGCTGACAATAGAACAACCTCCAGTGAATGGGGAGAAAGCTTTTTGGAAAATCCAAAGGGGCTGACCTGGCAAGCAGCTAATTGTTATAAAATGTATTTTAAAGCTTTTGATGATAAGGCATTATTATAAAGAAGGCTATTTTGAACAATAAGGCTAGATTCACACAATGCTCTAAACTAGGTTAAGGTCTGATGCTGCCACAAACTACCCAATCCCATTTTATCCTATATATATATATAGTGTTGGCAGTCGAAAGTAATGATGTTACTGGACTACATCTTTCAACATCTCTTATCACAGTCCATGTTGGCTGGAGCTGCTGGGGGCAAGA